GAGCAGACCCTCTGGGGACAGAGCCTTCCCAGAGGCCAGGGAGATCCTGTGTGGGAATCAGCACAGTGGTCTTCTAGTGGTATTACCCAGAGCCCTGGGCAAGCCCTGCATGGAGCCCCCAGCCACCCACCTCACTGTCACCCAAAGCAGCCCCTTTAATCTGAGCTGCATAAATATTCCATTTGAACAAAGAGTTCTACAGTTGAGAAAATTTCAAACCCATTAGAGGTCAATATTCTTATTGTTCAGATGAGATAATTAAGGCAAATGGATGCAACTGAAGCCACACGGCTCCCAGTCCAGAGCTCTTTGGGAAGAATCTTTGATTAAGTGTCCCCTGATTGACACAGGAAATTCCACTTGTAAGTGTTTCTGCTGCATAGAGCAAATGGGCATATTCCCCAAACGCTGTGGGGGATGAAAGTATTGTAAACTAAATCGTGCCATGAATCCAGTCACAAACTGGAGCCCCGTAAAGTACATCTGTCTTGCAAATGTTTTTTTTTAAATCTGGCTGCATTTCACATGTGTGTTTGTGTGTGTGTGTGTGTGCGCGGTTTTTAGTTGAATTATTTGCTGCATTGATCAGGATAGCCTAGGTTCTACTGTAGTAACAAATCCCTGAAATGCCAGTAGCTTGTCACGACAGAGGTTTATGTCTCTTTCCCATTTCTGTAAGGAGTTATACCAGCTGACATATGACTTCCTGGGTCACCATGGCAGGGGATGAGAGTGCTGGAGGGCTGCCGTTTGTCAGAGGTAGTCCCGCCGCCCACTAACTGCCAGGGCTGGGCAGTGTGCAAGACCATATGGTCCTTTCAGGAGCAGTAAGTATCTCTGCCACAGTCACCCAGCTTTAAAAGTAGAATGTAACCCATAAAACTCCAGATCTCATGAAAAACCAGAAGAGCTGCCCCTTAGAGGAAGAATGTGCCCCCAGCTTCCTGTGGCCTCTGCTGACCAGTGTCCCTCAGTGGGACCTCTCTGGTTCCTGGAAACTCTGACAATTTTTATTCCAGCTGTCGGTACACAAACCTGGGAAAGTTGACTTTGCCCCCCACCCGTGCCCCGTGAGGCTTCTTCTATTCATGCAATGGTTTTAACAAACATTTATGGCCCCCCTGTGATGTGCCGGGCTTGTACTAGGTGCTGGAAACAGGTGGGAACGCAGAAAAGCAGCATCCCTGCCTTGTGATGCTCCTATGCTCCTGCAGGGTGAGTGGGGAGCTGGGAGGAGGTGCTGGGGCCCAGAGGGGCTGCTCTGGCCAGGGTTTCCTGGAAGAGTAACATCAGAGCTAGGAGGAGGAGGAAGCTGCGTTCCCAGTGGAGAACAGCACCCCAAAAAGCCCTAAGGGAGGAAAAGGCATAGAGCCCATTAGGAGGCTGTAAGCAGCTCAGGATGCTTATGACCCACTAGTTCAGTGATTCAGTGGTAGAATTCTCACCTTCTATGCTGGAGACCCCAGGTTCGAATCCCTGTTAATGCATCTCATGCACAGCCACCACCCGTCTGTCAGTGGAGGCTTACTTGTTGTTGTGATGCTGAACAGGCTTCAGCGGAGCTTGCAGACTAAGACAGACTAGAAGGAAAGGCCTGGTGATCTACTTCCAAAAATCAGCCAGTGAAAACCCTATGGATTGCAATGATCTATAACTGATCATGGGGATGGTGCAGGACCGGGCAGTGTTTTGTCCCTTTGTGCATGGGGTCACCATTAGTTGGGGGCTGACTTGACAGCAGCTAAGGAGCAGCTAAAGAGGGCTGGGGCTCAGAACAGGAAGTGGGGAGGGGTGGGAGAGAGGCTGGCTACAGAGATAGGCAAGAGAGCAAAGCACCTCCTATTGATCTCTGGGTAATTCCAGCTCTCACTCTAATGTGCTTGCTTAAATCAGATACAGTTGTGCCATGGACGCAGTCACATGGCTTACCCTGGGCTGGAAGCAGCTTCTGCATGGAGCACATTAGAGAAACTAACCAGAGAGGGGGCCAGCAGGTCACTTTTTCCACAAGCAAGCCCAAGGACTGAGGAACTGAAACTATTTTAAAATCCCGGCTGCCCTGCGGAGAATGCAGAGGCCTCCTGCCCTGGGCCCCAATGCCCCTTGTCCCCTCCCTGTGCCCCAGGAGGTGGAGCCTTGTGGCTGGCTCCATGGGAAATGCTTTGCAGAGGGACACAACCCCTCTCCAGGACACAGGATGCCTCGCACTGGAGCAAGGCAGAGGGGGGTATTTATAGGGTGGCTCTGAGGGTGCTCGGAAGCCCCTCCCTCAAACCATGCCCCTTCTCCAGGCCAACCACAGTTCCCTGCTTCCAGAGTCAAGTGCTCATTCAACACAGAGGAGGCGCATCGTGTCTGTAGATGGCATGGAGCAGGGAGGCAGAGAACAGCCTCGACTGGGCTGAGTCAGAGCCCAGGGACCATGACACTCGACAATAACAGGCACGATCTACCCTGAGGATATTCACGAGGACAGCAGTCAGGCCAGATCTTGAGCCCCACAGTAACGTTTGCACACACAGGTTGGGAAGACGTGACTGAGCAGGGCTTTGTGGGAATAGATGCTGGGGGTTTTGTGAAGGAGCGGCTCAGTGTGACTCACCTTTGGGCCACGCTGTGCCCTGGCTGTGTCACGGCCCAGTGTTACTTAACTTCTCAGATCCTTAGCTGCAGCTTGGAAGATGAGAGTTAAATGTAGGTTCAGGACTGGAGAATGTGTGTACATGTGTGCTCGTGTGTATGTGTGAGTGTTCATGTGTATGAACATGTGTGTGTGTGAACTGTGTGTGTATGCATTTTTGCATGTGTGTGGATGTGTGCATGCCTGTGTGGGTGTGTGCATGTGTTTGCATGTGTGTGTTGTATACGTGCATGTGTGTATGT